TAAAAAAAATTATCACTTTAATAGACAAATTCCATAAAAAAAAAGTCAAATGGACACCAAACTTTCAACATTTTCCATGAAAAATTATACCAATCAAACACAATTAATTACAATTTCCAGTAAAATATTTTTTAGAAAAATCAATTCCCTGTAAAATATTTTCTTTCTACCCATTTTCCATCCTTACAATCAAACGGACCCTAATTTGACCAACTCCGGATAATAAAATGAGTGATTATATTGCCGTCACCTTTTTTTTAATAAATACATTACATTTTAATTATATAGAAGATCAATCCTTATTCATCATTATAAACTGAGATTCCTAACTTTTTCCTTCGTTACATTCTTATTTTTAATATTTTATTAATTAGAAAATGTTGTTTTTAATCATTATTTTCATTCAAAAATATTGTTAACGTGCTTTAAAATAAGGATCAAATATTTAATCGTATTATTATTTTTTGTTGATTTAAAAATACAAACAATAAATGAATTTTTATTACTATCTTTAAAAAAAAAAAATAAGTCTTTGTTTGATCCACATTATTTTTTTCATTCTCATTTTTCTACTCATTTTCAACCACATATTTTTTATCACATCAATAACTTTTCAGTCTTTTTCATCACATTTCCCCCATCATATCACTTCAAAAAAATGCATTATCTCATTTTAATGTGCAGCAAACGGGCTCTTAGAGAAAAATCACAATCAAGAATAATTTATGTTAATTTGACAGTAACAATGTGATGAAAAAGTTTAAGACATAAATATTATAGTATGTAAAAGTTTAACTTTCCATGGAATTAAAATTTAATTTAATTATTAAAAATCGTATTGCGAATATAGTGAGTTTCGCTTTAAATAAAAAAAAAAAAAAATGAAAGCCAGTAGGAGCGTCAACGCAACCCCTATCAAAAATCTTGTCACCTTACCAACCCTATTCAAGTAGCATTACATTGAATATATTTAGCCCAGGAAAATATCTAGCTTTCATTTACGCGTGATTGCCACGATTAATTTGTATGACAATCTTGTCCTCGTTGACGCTTTACACAATTACACGGTACTGTGTACCAATACAATACAAACACATTGATAAATTAGCTCTAGAAACTACTATTGGCACACCATTTCTCAAGAAACTAATAGGGTTAAGCCTTCGTTTCACAACCATTCTCCCGCGGTATTTTTCATTCTTTTTTCTTATACTTATTTTTTACCATATATTCACACAATAAAATATTATACACGTAAATTCATTTTTTTTTTACAGTTTTTAAACATGCATTCTTATAAAAATCATTATTCAAAGTATTTTATTCCCAAATAATGGTTATCAAACAGGGTAATAGCCATTGAATTGTATGTAACTTTGCGTAAACTCCTGACAAATTTAAAAAAAATGATGAGATATATTCATAATGTCCGCGTTTGATGGTCATTATTTGGCCAAA